TAGACATTCGCGCCTTTCCAAGGAGCCGTTCTCCTCCGACCCTCCCTATGGCTTCTCTTGGCTCGCTCTGGAGCATCGGTGCTATGAGCGTGCTCGACAAGCGAGAGAAGAAGAGAACGAGGGAAGGAGAAAGATCTCCGGGACCGTGGTCGTCGCGGCACAGTGGCGCCCGTAGGGCGCCGTCGCACACTCCCCGCTAGCTACGCTGACGAGCCAGGGATGTAGCGACGGACTGATTCAAAGCATCTAGCGGTACACGCCAAATGTTTACTAAATATCTCTGGGATATACATAGCTCTAAGTGCGATGGTAAACAGATATGGGGCCATATGTTAATAATTTGTAAAGAAAACGAATCATAAATTACATAAGTATAGTACGAGTCAAAATTTCTATTTAATTACAAATCGAACGCGTCGATTGCGTGCGCACAGCCGTTTTTCAAGGTAGCAGTACCTATCGAAAGAAATGTAAGAGTACCGACAGAGTTATAATGAGAGAGAGATAGATTGTTATTTACCTACATCCTGTAATTCCTTGAAAACTATATTACATTCTGTTGGTGCAAAAAGTTTGTATAACGTTAAACAATAGTCTGCGTCCGAGACGTCGAACGTTACACCAATTTAAGCTTAACTTGAGCAACGAATTTGACCGAGCTGTATGCCGCTGAGCAATTTTTTCACATTGCAATTCCCCGCCCACTTTACTACATACGGACTGCGGGTATATTATGTAGACGATTGCAGGAAAACTGAAACCAAGGGTTGCACATTAGGACTGCGCACTGCGCGTGTCCTAACGTGGGTTTACAATGCGTCAATCGTTGCCGAGAAAAAAAAAATAAGACGCTAGAAGTGCACGTGGTCGCCAGACACAGAAAAATCAAAATAATTACAAATTCGAATTGGTAATGTCATCAATTTTTCGTTGGAATGCGTGTCCCAAGTGTTTGAATCGCAAACCCAGCCTTTGAAGAGGTAAAGTTTCGTTCATAACCGTTCATATCGTTTAGATTTTGCGTTCATCTTGATCATTGTTCGATCGGGGTACCGTGATTCAAAGATACGCAGTTGATCGTGCCGTGCTACATGTTTTATCTTGCTCTTTCGCACGACCAAGGATCGGAGATCCTTGTCACAAAGCCGTAGTTACACGACTAGTTCCCCCAATAAGCAGTCAGTCCCCACCGTGTACTCGCGAAGATAGCCGAAGTCGAGCGGCCTGCGCTCTACGGCCGACGCTGACCGCCCTACGTCACAGTGAAGTATGTGCTCTCGAGTGTAGAAAATGGCTGCGCTCTCCGCTACCCCGGGTCGGCGCGGATGTAAATACGGCCTGTGGATTGGCTTGGTAGTGTTTATCGCGAGATTCGTCGGTGGTGAGTACATCTGTGCTTGCTTTATATCACGAACGTGTGCGCGCGCGTGTGTCCGCGAAAAGTGGCAAAAGCACGACGTGTGCAGTGCACGAGAATCGATCGGATGCGGATTCTCGACTAGCGAGAACGATTGGTGTCTGCTGCTGACTACTCTGTTCGCCTTCTGTCACACAGATGTGTACCCCGCTGATCTCTCTTTCTCGTTCTGTTTCCGCCGCTCTTCCTCTCAGCATGTCGTCGACAAACACGCACGGTCCTCTCGACGTTTTATAAAAGATCGTCGTCTGACGCGACCTCGATCGCATTTTTGACTTTTTGCCACAATTTCGAGAATCACCCGCAGAAGACAACGAAACGACCAGTGATCTTTCTATGTGACACTTCTAGCGAATCGTTTAACGCTTTTGTCGTCATCCTTGCTTCGTGGTTACATGCTTCGATACTCGTACGCAATGACGTTTCTGTTGCCGTACGGACGGTGCATTCTTCCGAAAGGAATCCCTGTGCCAAAGGCACGCACGTTCTTTTTTACCCTCGACTCGAAGAGGAATGAACGATAGACAGAGGGCGAGAGTAAGAACGACGGAAAGAGAAGGACGAAGAGGTTAGGTGCTAAGGTTAGGGACTGAAATACCAGTGGTGCGAGAGTCTCGCCGCTTTTGATGCCTCGAAAGTCCCGGTTCGTTCACGATGCCTCGACCTTTTACCGCTTTTTATTCTTTTTCCCGATACAACTCGTGATGTTTCACGTGCTACTATCCTAATATGTTTTTATATATCTATCTCAAATGTAACTTTTCTACGGTTTAATTTTAACGTCGTAAAAGTTACTTCGTCGAAAACAATCGATGCTTCGATCAAACCTATTAGTTTCTCTTAACGAATTCACGGTTGATCCGTCTTGTTTCTCTCTTATTCGTGATCTGCTCGTCTAAACACGGTCGCTTCCTTCATATTTATTTTTCTTCTCGCAAACTGGCGAGGACATTGCATGAATATCGTGTATGTATAACGAATACAATTCGTTTATTTCTTATTCGTTATCAAAATACATGTTTTGGTATACTAATAGATCTAAGTTAAAGACTATTATTGGAATAATGAATTGCGTTTTATCGAGGTTGATCGCTTCCTTTTTTGAACTAATTTTCTGTGCGAAAATGTAACACGTTTTATTATTTAATACCGTGATCCACTGTATGTATATAGAGCGCACGAGACTCATTTGTAGTTTCTAATTTTATTGATGTGATGTTCCTCTGCTTCTGGATGAGAATTTCCCGAGAGAATCACGTCGAGTGACAGCAGGATTGGATTACCGCTGACTGATTGTGCTTCCACGAAAACCATACTCATAATATCGTTACGCGTACGCGCAAAGCTGTTTTCAGCGCTCTTCTCGGATGCGTTATTCATCGCGCGCAAATGCAGCGTGCAATTACACTTGGTCCGGCGGCCAAAAGCGTAACATCACGTGCTGCGGTACGATTTCGATTCGACGATCCCATATTTCTTAAATCTTACTATCCGTGGATCGGAAAACGAGTTCAATCTCTCTCGTGAACAGCAACTCCCAAGTACTGCTGTTATTTTTTCTTTTTACTGAACGTTGTGCGCACTAAAACACAGATTTCTGATATCATTATTGACTGTTACTAGGTTAGAAATACAATCCGTGGAAACGTCACGCCTTTCCACGTCGACAAACAGGGAATACAGATAACGCAATAAAAGTAACGAAAGACGAGTGAAAAACAGTGTGTCACGATAAAAAACACCCGGTATATCACGTGTCAACGCGCCCTTACAGAACAAAAAAGCCCGCGAAATCCTCCCACTCGATGTTTACGCAGTCACTCGCTGGTCAATACCTCTGCTCGCACGCGATTCCGCTTCTATTTTTTTCTCTTTATCGTTTCGTGCTCGCACGAAGCATTTCTGTACTATTTTTCGTTGATCCCATTCTCGTTTACGGGTTGACTTGATCTACAGCGTCGCAAAATGCAACCGAAGGGGGTTGGTTGTTCTCGAATAAGTATATCGAGATATTTCATGTTCCGAGGAGAGTTATAGATCGCGAGAGCAATACAGTAAATTTTCATTGGCCAAATTGCTGGATGGACAACTTGACAAATGCTCGAACACTTTGAAACAAGTGCCACATTCCCCCTCCCGTCAGCGTGCCAGTTTGAAGTGGTCGGTTAATTGGTGCGAACGCGCTCCTCCGATCAGGGAGGGCCGTACTCTACTCTCGTCGTGCTTTTATTTGCGTTACAAGATAAGAACAGGTGTTCGCGGTCCGTTTCCCGAGATCCGAACACTCTTTCCCCTCGATCGTTGTGAAATTTAGATTTAATCATTGCTGTACCGAGGGTGATCTGGATAATTACGAGCCTGTCGCGTATGTTCAAAAAATTGAGGAAAAGACCCGACGCACAGTGGGCAAAATCCAGATAAAATGGAGAACATTCGATGAATTCTGCCGTAAATTTATAGAAAATTGGTCTTTCTAGGTTGTTTTGGACATAGATTTCAAATTTTGAATCAAAATGGTCGATTCAATATGGCGGACGGAAAAACCAAAACTTAATAAATTTTTTTGAAGATTAATATACCTGAGTAACTGGGCATGCTGATTTTGAATTTGTATTCGAAATTGTGAAATTCAAAATGGCAAAAATCGATAACTCATTGAATATTGAATGAAATTATTTTACTATTGGTGGTCTAATACGTGTTTTTGGAGTCGCTTATTTCGAATATCACATTAAAATTATAAAATTAACCATGGTGAAACTTATATGGAAGAGATTTCACATATATTTGATTTGGTTTAATTGTTGTTTTAATTATATTTTAAAATATATGCAATTATAAGCCTTTTCACCACGTCAAGGTACCAGTCTAAGAAAAGGTTTGTGATTTTCTTTCATCATTACTATTCCAAATACACTCACATAAAATTTTATTAAATTTTAAGTATATCAACCATCTTATGAACTCTATAAAGCAACTTGAATTAGCAAACAGAATAAATTGAGAAGAAAAAAAATTATAAAGGTGCAAAGAAAATAATTTTTAAGGAAAACAGTTTTTATTAAAATGTAAGTGAATATTATAAAAGTAACAAGTAATATTACGTAATCGTACAAAACTATAAAAATATGAAGTAAACACAAATAAAATACGTATAAACCGTAAATCAAAGTAAATTAAGCCTATTAAACCGGTTACACTCATAGCCAACATGATACATTTTAAATTGTGAAATTTAAGGTTTTCCGTATTCCATTTAGTAGACAAAAGGTAAAGTTCGAATGTAAAAACGAGCACGTAACATGTAAAATACTGGTGCAAGATAGTCCCATATATTTCGCTCATCAAGTAGTATCGACTTCATTTTAAATATATTCATTTGTTAATAACAATTTGTTATTAATTTTAAAATGTTATTAACACATGCAATGAACTTAATTCAAGTTATTTTTTACAAGAAATTCACATAAATAGACTGTCTACATGAAAATACATATAATATTATATTATTAATATCTTTTCAATAGGCAAAAATAGGCAAACGGGATTTGCTTCTTAATTTTAAGGGTACTTTAAGCAAACTTGTTAAATTGCGCATCGGAAATTTACTTTTTTATTCAAAATCAAGCTAATACGCTGAGTAATTATTAAACTTGAAAAGAATTATTAAACATATTTCAAAAAAATATTAAACATTGTTTTATCGATGCAATGTATAAAGAGCTATACCAAATAGCTATAGCAAAGTTTTTGATAATTTTTCATGCAGCGCCAGCTGTATATGGTGAGTTTGAATAGATATAAAAATATTACGAATTATACAGATGAACGTTAACAATACTTAAATATAAATATCAACCTATATTTAATAACTTTCAACTCATTTTACTTGTTTTTCATAAACTTTCGGGTACTGTTAAAGACGTAAAATACTTGATCTCGATCATTTAAACAAAAGTTAAAACTCGATTTTTATCCTGATGTCGCCCATTATGCGACGGTGCAGCTCGAATATAAACAAAAGAAAAGAAAAAAACGTAACTAGCATCGTGGGGTGTGAATACCAGTTGAATTACACCAGTTCACCCTCTTCTTTAACATATTAAGTACAGAGTGAATCGTCCGTGTCTTTCCATTCACGTCAAATGACCCTGAAGCGTTCTCGATTATCCTCAAAATTTGTTCAAATTATTACGTAAAAACTAGAAACATTGAATACTTGAATGGTGTACATCTTATTTTACAGTATTTCAAAAGTTTACACGTTAGGGCTAGTTTATGGTACACCTTTTAAAAGAATGGTTTCCGATGAATGACGCGGGCCTGAATGGAAAGATAGCGACGGGCACCGGTGTACGTCGCAACACTAAACGCGTTTAAATATGCATAAGGCTAGAATTTGAAGCCGTACCGCTGAATTCAGTTTTTTGTTTTCGTATAATATTATCATCGACACGCGAACAAGCTGCCAGAGGCAGCGCCGATTCTCTCGAAGTTGTAGGTGTGGAACGCCAGCCTATCGCTGATACTGCTCTTTGCCACGCTGATAAAGTGCGTGTCTGGTCGTAATGCTGCGTCGCGCGATTCATTGAAACCTTCTCACGAGATTACGAGCGGTGATTGTTTTGCTAAAGTCTCGCAAAGGGGACGGTCTTCTAAACAAAAAATTACCGTTTTAATTTGTACCTGTGTGTTTTGTGGAAACGTATAAGCGCGTATTTTCTCCCACTTTTGTTTCTTCTAGAAAAAGAAATTCTTTTTTTTTTTTACGTAGCAATGCGTCGTATCTTTCGTTGCATACCAAGTGCAGCTGTAGATTTCTATTAACGGTCGTTGGTGAGGCTTCTGTGACATGCCGCCTCTGCATCGGACAATTTAATTCATTGACGGATCATCATCGATGGAAAAGTACTTACATACTGGTCGTGTCGTTTTCGTTTAGTCTCGCGAGATACGCAAGGATAAGAGGGAACTGTCCTCGGCTCCACGCTTGGAGACGCGTTCGCCTCTCTTGGAAGACGACGGATAATTGTGTACCGGCGATTTCCATGTACGGTGCGATCGGCAGACACGGAGTTGTGTGCCGCAGGCTAAGAAACTGGTAGGAAACTCTCGTGCAACGCGAACTTTCGGAAAAGTACAATTCAAGGTCTGATTGTTGATTCTTAAAAAAACGCGTGAAATGAAAAACATGCGGATTCGGGCCAGAAAAATTATCGAACCGTTGATACCAGTATATCTGTCCAGAAAATATTTTTGTATCGTTTCAAAATGGAATTGTGTTTTACTTTTAAAGAGAAACGCAATTCATAACCATTCCAAAGAAATGCTAGACCGCGAAACGACGTTGTTCTTCGTTTTCATTTTGGGGAACGAAAGTAGCTCATACATATAGCCAGAGAGAAAAGGGGGAAAAGGTGAAGAGAATACGTGGAATAGGCTCAGAACGCATGAAGGATCGATCCAGATATTTGGTGATATAAATAGAGCGGTCACCGTAAAATAGACGCGAGGGAGTAATTCTGCGACGGAAGATAAGCAGTTTCCCCAACGGCTCCTGCACTTTACCTTTCTTCCTATTTCTTCTTTCATCCCTTTTTTTATCTTCACCTCTGAGAAACTCGATCTCTATGTGTTCGTCGCAAAACTGCGTTTATCATCTTCGTCGCTTCTCTATAATAGCGCACATGTGTTGTTACTTTCAACTCTGTTTCATTTTCTTATCAACTCGTTTATCTTGGAACTCCCAGTTTTCGTTAATTATAATTTACTATTTATAAACAAATACGAACGTGGAAGCTGTAATTCCTGAAAGATTTTACATTCCAACTCTCCCTCCCAGTACGCATCATAAACTTTGTACTCTTTGTTTACTGCTACGACGTGCTTCTCCGTCATTTTTGCGCGTGGTAGATAACCTTAAATCGTATTTGCTTGCACGCGCGTATTTTCGTATATTGATTGCATCTGTAGCATGTGCTATCAGATTTGCATGTACAATCATATTCGTTCCTATTTCTCTCTTAATCTATTTAATTATCTCGTAGAAAATTTTGTAAAAAATTCTATGTAAAAATGACTGTTTTCTCGATGAACACAGCGTAGTCTGAGATTTGCACACTGAAGAAAATCTGTGACATACAATTGCGCGCCAGTTTCTAGATGCCTCAAAAATTGATCTGCGTATCACCGACCCCGATCGCCTTTGCATTCGACTTTGCGATCGTGACGCATTAAGTGATCGATTCCCCTCTAATAAACGTAATTCATTGATGTTTTAGTAATGAAGTGCTTATAAATTCCTTTTGCTCCAAGATTGTACGTTGAATGTTTATTAAAGGCATTGTTCAAGCTTAATCCCGGAAGATGATAAAGGTATACTGATCGAACGAAAGAAAGTACACGGGTTTAAAAGGAGAACAATGAAACTGGTGCCTTTAGATTAACGTGTATGTACCACAGCAAATTTCTGTTCGTCGCAAGGGCGCACCTTCCTTTTATTTGTTGCAGCAGTTTGTGTCGTAGGACGCAATGGCCGTCCGCCTACGCGACACGTCGTAACTTGTCGAGCAACCTCCTCCCGAATCCGCCCAGTATGCTGGGCTTTCCCCTCGGTATCAATTATCATTCAGTTACTTATCTCCTGTGGTTTTGCTTTCCTATCGTTCACCTAATCTCTTTCTGACGTTTTCGCCTTGCTCTTAACGCACTCCATTTTTTTTTTTTTTTTTTACTGTTTTTGTTTACTTTTACATAACCTCAAAGATACGACACTGATCGTTCTAAATTGTTGCCAGAACAATTATCCTATAACGACAGAAATAGAAATGAGTGTTGTTTAATATTTTTGTAAGCTTTCTTGAATGACATGTATAATTACAATGAAAGTAGGTGATTTGTATTTACCATGTTATTTCGTACTAGAAACTGATAGTAATGAAATCAATTGTATGATTTATATTTCAGCATTGGGAATTACTTGCTATTGCGAAGGACACTGTCCGGACGATCGACAGAACGGGACTTGCGAAGGAAGACCCGGTGGACATTGTTTCAGTGCAGTTGAAGAAGTTTGGGATACAGAATCGAAAGAATTTGTGCCTGAATTGTCATTTGGGTGTTTACCACCGGATGAACAAGGTTTCATGCAATGCAAAGGGTACCTTGTGCCACATTTACAAGGAAAAAGTATAAAATGTTGTAATAAGAGTGCACTTTGTAACAAAAATTTGATTCCTGATTATATACCCAGACCTACTGTGCCTCCTAATCATGTGGCCATAGCATCGGGTGCACCTCTTATAATATTAGCTACCATTTTGTCTGTATGCTTAATGGTAATTTCTATAGCTATGGTGATCATATATCACAGATACAGAAGAAAAGAAAGAGGCCCGTGTCTAATGCCTTCTCAAGGTACCCTTAAAGACTTTATAGATCAGAGTAGTGGTTCTGGATCAGGTTTACCTCTGTTAGTACAACGAACTATAGCTAAACAGTTAGCTTTATCTCAATGTGTTGGGAAAGGTCGTTATGGCGAAGTATGGCTTGCAAGATGGAGAGGAGAGAAAGTGGCTGTAAAAGTGTTTTTCACGCTGGAAGAAGCTTCTTGGTTCAGAGAAACCGAGATTTATCAGACGGTATTGATGAGACACGACAACATTTTAGGATTTATTGCAGCCGATATCAAAGGAACAGGATCCTGGACACAAATGTTACTAATCACAGATTATCATGAAAGAGGATCATTGCACGATTACTTACAAACTACTGTTTTGGATCATCCTAGTCTATTAGCAATTTCTCTTTCGATTGCTTCTGGAATTGCTCATCTTCATACAGAGATCTTTGGCACACGCGGAAAGCCTGCTATAGCACACAGAGACATCAAAAGTAGAAATATTTTAGTAAAGAGAAACGGTGAATGTGCAATTGCTGATTTCGGTTTGGCAGTAAGATACATAAGGTATTTACTAATAACATAATTGAACAAAAATTCATGTTATACGTTCTACAATTGTAAATTTGTATTGATAGCGAAAGCGGAGAAATTGATATCGCCCTTAATACGCGAGTGGGTACTCGTCGATATATGGCTCCAGAAGTCTTGGATGAAACCTTAAATACATCTTCTTTCGATGCCTTTAAAATGGCAGATATGTATTCTGTAGGTCTTGTGCTTTGGGAAGCATGTAGACGATGCGTCACAGGTGGTAAAAATTCTATGGTAGAACCATACGCCTTACCTTATCATGACGTTGTACCGAGTGATCCAGACTTTGAAGATATGCGACTAGCAGTTTGCGTAAAACGGTTGCGTCCGCTAATACCAGCACGATGGGAGAATGATCCAGTAAGCATAAAATTAATAATTTCTATATAAACGTTTTTTGATAGAATGAAAATATTACAAATCTACTGTGTTTTTTTTCTTATAGATCCTATTTGCTCTAAGTAAACTTATGGCCGAGTGCTGGCATGCAAATCCTGCCGTTCGTTTAACAGCACTACGTGTAAAAAAGACAATGTCAAAACTACATATTGATAATGCCATCAAAATTGTGTAGTGCTTGATAATATTTCTCGAAACTGTTATTTTATTTCTCATAGCTAAAAAAAACTCCCCTTGTAAATATGATCCCAGTGTACATAGAATTATTGACAGACTGCAAGCCTGAAGACTGAGTACTAAGATTTACATATACTTGAAAACGTATGAATGTGGGAATTCGTATGATTAATAGATGATTAATAGCAAGTCATGAAAGTAATTATGAATGAGTCCACGTTGTGTATGTATATTTTTTGTTTTTATGTGAATCGCGACAAAATACGATAATGTCAATGTGTTTTGACGTGCTTCACTGTGTTGAAGTTTGTTGAGTATATAATCAGTGATGGCTACTACTTAGAGAAGATATTGTTTAGGAAAAAACCTGTCCTGAGTTCTAGACGCGCGTGAGCTTAAAAAGAGACATTAAAGTAAATTTAGCAAACGGTAAAAGATATTTCTAGAGTGAAAGCCATTTTGATAATAGCATTTAAATTTAGTCTATTCTAATATTACGAGATTTTGATACTCATACGCATTGAAATCCTGTTGTTACAAAGCTGTGCTAATTTACATTTATATGTCTCTAAAATGTTTATCGTCGAAAGTTACGATATTATAATATGCATACTATTTCAGTTACGAACTGATACATTTGCAGGATATATACAGTTTTATATTGTTTAGAAATTCAGTACTATCAAGATAATTCTTACGTTAGGAACATTCTTAAATATAAGTATTCTGAATATTCTCTTATGTTAGAATATCTTGGAATGCTAGATAAATTTTACACGGATTTTTATGTTCTACATATTTAACTATCATTCTGTATTCATCAATTTCGTTACGTTTACTTTTAAATCTATTCTAAAGCAGAAAAATTACTTTTTATCAATGTTATTTTCACTTGTTATTGACTCTAAAGTACTGTATCTCATATATGACCCTGTATTATCTGTACAGTATGTAATTTATGTTTCTATTTTGTACAAATGGGATATATTAATTATTTAGTTTAAGAACGATTTTAAGTACATTGTCGATTGTCCAGATTATAAAAGTTTCTTTTAATAATGAAAAATGCACTCGTGGCAATATTTTTGACAGTCTGATAATTTTAATATGTTCTTGTTAAAAATATAAACAATATGTTTCAACTTGTTTTAAATAAATAATGATTAGGCATATCTATAAATCTTATGAGGGCTGTAGATGAAAAAAATATCCACTAAAAAATCCTAGCAAATTGTTATTATAATAGCTAATTATGTATCTGGGCTTTCGATTATCGACTCGAGATCGTTATGTTACATACGACTTCTGTATATTATTTGATAGAAGTCACTGTTAAATAGTATCGTAGTTCTTTAGGAAAATGAATTGTAATTACATTAAAAATTGTAGTTAATAGCTAGTTGATTGAAAATAATGAAATTTATATTTTTAACAAGTATTAAACATTATCATCTTTTTCCAGATATAGAATTTTATTTATCATTACATGTTATAGGACATTATCCTTACTCGTTGTTAAGTGACTACCTGAAAATGATTAGACACATGCTGTATACAATGCTGTTTGTACAAGATTTTGTGCAATATAAGACAATATACATGTCGAGAGATCAGTTACTTCTTACGTAGATTTTATTAAAAAAAGATTATACATAGCCAACAGACCAATGAAATGTTTCATGCACGATCAATCGATACTATGAATTAAAAGCAGTACAGGCTACATAATCCGTTTTAATTATGAGAACGTGAACCATACAAAATATTTGAATACTATAAAAAACAATTAATTCCAAGTTTGCAAATTTATTTTCAAAATAAATTTATATTTTCATAGTAGTTTGAAGAATTTTCATATACACATCAATGTATGTTAGGAAAATTGGAGCACAATGCAAAGTGTTATGGGTAATGGGAGAGGGGATGTGTCGACCATTTTTACCAAATGTATATGTATTCTAAATTTATTAACGTTTTATTTTTAAAGTATAATTTTTGGTAATGTGTACGAATTTTTCTAAAAATTACATTGTAATTCGATTCATCTCATTTAGTAAAATTACATATTTTAGAATGGGACATGTCCCGGTATGTCAGTAATTTTCTATCGGTTGTTGAGTGATCGTAGAAAGTTTCTTTTTCATGCATTGGTGGCACTGAATCTCACATCGGAAGGGACGCCGCTTTCCACTTCCCGGTCTGTTTCGGTTCGCCATTTTTTACTTCGGAAAGCGTGTAGTTTCGTGTCGTGTTTTATCGCGTTGTTTTACGGAAATACTGACTTGGTAAGTGCATATATATTTTTAAAGTACTTTCAACGCAACCCACTATCGTTTAAAACTAGCATGCAAACGAAAAATTCTGTTTATATCACGATATTTGTGTACGACATCATAGCGTCGCATGCAGGATGCTGAAAGCACGCCATTTCGCGTCTCTTAAGTTTTTTGAAAATATATTTCTTTCGATATTTCTATTTGTTTTTAACAATATACAAATATTTATCAGTGCTCGATCGTCAACAATATATAATAGAATTGTCGATGTATATCACTGATTGATTGGATAATGCTTTAAATCGTATTATGCACATCTTTCTTCGTTGTATGTTGGCGATGCTACAAAATTTGATTTCTTTGCATTGCAGTGATTTTCCACCCTAATTTTGTTGTACGTCATTTTGGCATATAGAAAACGAAATATACCACGGTATTTCTATTTCAAAAAGTTATGGTAACATATCTTAAGATTGCGGATGCGTAATTTATATTTACAAATCTTTTACGATTTATTATTCACATTTGGGCACTACATGCTCTTTATTAGTTGTTAATAATACGCAATTTCTCAATGCTGCTGCATTCTTCTAATTATTTTTAACTTTTGTAAAAGTCGCATCTCCCGAATATTTACTTAATGCCGTGGAAATACGTAAAACTATTCTTAAGAGCTTGTGGAGCATCTTTTATCCAAGATATTTTACGCGAATTTTGTATTATTCATTTGTTCTTGAGTGCGTTTAGCATTGCACATTATTTCTCGTGGTATTGATGTTGCCCAGAACTTTACAAGTGTTAATAGTTATTTTAAGTGTTGCAAGTCCAATAGCATGGATTACAGACAATTAATGTGTTAATATATTCTTAAACGTTCTAACAGAGACCAAAAAAAATTGCTTTGCTCTAAGAATGGAAAGTTAGTGTACCCAGTTCAAAGAGCATAGAAAATATCTCACCGATATAAATTTGTACTACAGAACCCTCAAGATAATTATAGAAATTTACGGAAAACAACGATACGATTTGAAGTAGCAGAGGTAAAACAATTCCCGCGTCAGTGTAGCTTATGTAGATTTTAGGTATGTTAGTGATAGGTTTTTGGACGCTCAGTGTGATTCGTTGCATTATAGTTTTCTTATAAAATTTCAGTTTATTTTTCTAGTATAAAAGTTCAAATGATTAATAACATATAAATATGTTTTAAACATTTTTGTATTAAACTCAACACGTGCTCCAAATGTGCACGCAGGGATATTAATTCGTATTCCGGTGTAAGAGAAAGCGACAACTACAAGTGTGTGTAAAGGAGAAGGAGTAAAATCGACGCTAGTGACTTTCCTTTAAAGCAGGAGCGAATTAATATTCCTGGTTCTATATCCTAGAATATTAATTTGTCTTCCGCTAGAACGGAAGGTTAAGATGGTCCATGCTCGGTTGAAATTGACTGGATGTTTTTCTGCAAATTGATCGACTATTTTTCTCATAAAAAAGATAAATGAGGAAGATGGGTGACTAAATGAGCGGGAAAATTTCTGGTAATTTGTATCATTCGTTTATAGGAAAGCCAACACTAGTAACTTTCTTTTGAAGCGCGAATGAATTAATATCCCTGGCCATACAATAAAGTATATCACTAAACTAGATATACTTCCTAGATTCGTTACAGATCATTTGGATAGTTATTGTTATCGCCGCTTGGTGGCGGTTGGTGTTCTCGTGACTGCAATGTCGCCACAATCTCGCGCAAGCGAATGCGGCAAGTAAGACGCCATTGCTAGATTGCGTTTTCTTGTGTAAAGACGTGCGTGTGTCGGATATCGGCGTCGGTTAAAAGTCGTTGATTAATAAGTCGTTCGTCACGGTAATCTTTGATTAGTGCTACGATAAAACGTAACGTGCGTGAACGTAAGGAGTGTACGTATCGATCGAGAAGGAAACGTAATTATATACGCTTCGTAAAATTCGTGCGCCATTTCGACAAGGTCGGTACGCTCTCTGTACTGCGTACTTTCACGGTGTAACAAATATGCACTAGTATACTATGTATTTGCTTGTCTTGTTAAACTAGAAATCATAAAATCAGTTTTGTACAGCAATTCGAAATCCCGCAAACAGTTTATTTCACTTCTTTCTCAGCATACGGGTTGAATATTCAAGTGAAATTTACGACCTTCGAAATTCAAAAACTTAGATCGTTAGCAAAATGGTGGAAGGAAACGCTAGAGGGGGAATCTAAACAATCGCCATCGAGCATCCTCAGCGAATTTTTCGAAATTCAAAGCCGGAATCATATTACGTTGTTAGGCATAACAGATTAAATAGTACACGTAAATATTATTTTTTAATTATAAAAATATGCATCGTAACGTAAGAATTTATTTTTTAACGCGAAATATCGTTTCACTTTACTGTGCGGCATAGTAATACGTGCGTAGTAATAGTTATAAGACGCGTGTGCTAATTTAATCACGGTTTGATTCACATAAAACAAATGTTATTAAAACTTCTAGGCTTTATGGACCGATGATGTATATGGTTTTCATTGTGGCGCGTAACTTCATCAAAAACGTTGTACGAATCATTAAGAAATAATATCCGAAATATTTTTTTCAAAACTAGGTTCTAGAACGAGCCGAAAATGCCGGGTTTTAGTAGTGTTGGCACGTTTAAAATCTTCATCGGTAATTTAGCCGACAAGACGTCAAATGCCGATATTAAACCGTTATTCGAGAAATACGGAAAGGTCGTAGAGTGCGATGTGGTCAAAAATTATGGATTTGTGGTAAGTTCTTTTTGTTTCCTAAATATTACATACACAGTTTGGTATTTTTTGAAAATTGTTAGATGAATACGAATCTTCACACAAAATTATAAGAATCCCTCTGATACAACAAACGTATTATTCCTAACAGCATATGGAAAACGAAGAGGCAGGAAGAAATGCAATACAAAATTTGAATGGACATATAGTTCATGGGCAGCCAATCAAATGTGAGGCTGCAAAAAGCCGTAAAGGACCTAACACTCCTACGACCAAAATATTTGTCGGCAATCTGACAGATAACACAAAAGCGCCACAAGTTCGCGAACTTTTTGCCAAATATGGCACAGTTGTAGAGTGCGATATTGTGAGAAATTATGGATTCGTCCATCTAGAAGCAACAGGTGATGTCAACGATGCCATCAAGGAGCTGAATGGACAGATGGTTGATGGTCAACCCATGAAGGTTCAAATTTCCACGAGCAGAGTACGACAGAGGCCAGGAATGGGAGATCCTGAGCAATGCTATCGATGCGGTCGCGGCGGCCACTGGTCCAAGGAATGCCCCAAAGGAGGAATGGGAGGAGGACCGGATAGGAATGGATACAGAGACCGAATGTTTGGACGCGACCCGTATCCTCCACCGCCGCCACCACCGTTCCTTCGGGACCGGCTGATGGGTGGTGGCCGCTTTGGAGTAAGTAGTTTCCTTTTTCATAATAACATAATTGTTGGATGAGATACAGTGATCTAAATTAAACGAATCGCTTAAGTAAAATATGAAGTATATAAGAATATAAACCAAGACAAGAAATCACACTGTATCATTTCCACCGGTTATATAACCGTTTTTTGCCAGAGCACTGGTTAATGTTGCTTGGAATGGAATGTTGCTTTATGGCTTTGTGTTTTATTTGTTAACAGGACTACGAAAGCTACTACGACAGGAGGGGCTTCGAGGACACCAGGGACCTCTACGAGAGGCGGTTTACGGGTATGACAGGGCCCTGTGACATGGGAAGTTCCATGTGCGGGCTTGACTTTCCACCAATGACAATGCCACCTCTACCCCCAAGACGAGACCCAATGCCTCCTATGCCTCCTCTAGGTATGGGATCCATGCGCGACACTGGCTTCTCCCGTGGTAACGAGTACGGAATGTTCAGCCGCCGATCACCCCCTCCGAGTGGCAACAACGGCCGGTTCAGGTGAGTAGAACCATCGTACCGACTGCCCATTCGTCCGACTTAACATTGTGAACGTTCCAGGCTGGATTAACAGCTCATGCGAATTGGGGTTCGGTGATTCGTCGACATACTTACTATTCTATATCGTATATTCTTCGTTTTTCTTACAAATTATCGATCTTCTTTTCCATTTCTTGCTCTTGGTCTTAAAATTTATTGTTCTTGCGGGAACAGGGCGCGATGAAAAATTTAACGTAATTTACATCATCACCCTTTTTTGCATTTGGTTCTTTGGTCTGAAATTGATTCGTTATTACATCTCCGTTATTTTCCCTACCTATTAGAACATTTTGCGCGCGGATAAACGTATTGCCAATGCGTATCGTTTTTCTCTTTGTTCCGTTTGCTTATTTTCGATCACGGTAATTGATATTTCTAAAAGCATTAAGTACGAGTGTCGACCCGATGCCCACATGAGTGCAGAGTCTGCATAGTACAAATGTTATTATATGACGCTTGGACGTTTCTGTACATTCTAAATTTCAGTGCACCTCAGGCTGCGTACCATCTTTGTCCATGAATGCGGGCAACCCTAGAGAGACAGTCCCGGGCCAACGTACAAGTCGTGCAAGAGTAAGTCTTTGACCACTTTTGTTAGCGAGTAGTCATGCCTCGTTCTTGTCGCTGGCGCGTTGTACATCGGGCCGCTTCCAATGTCACCGCGGTGTCAACTCAAAAAAATGAAAAAGAAACAAAAACAAAACAAAATCCGGGTCTCGACTGATCGTACCTTGAACATGTCGACTGCTCTTCTAGGGATGTCCCTGTTCATAGACTCTCTTGATCCATGGCGTTAACTGCGAGATTGGCCTGTATGTCTCTCATGAATCCTTTGTGTTTCAAGCGCTCCCTATTACGTACATCACTCAACCGGGAGTGGCGCGGAGGCCTGGGATGAAGAAACGTTCCTAAGGAATGCGAACTAGATTTCTTGATCGCACTACCGCGAGCCAGGATGCGATCTACAATTTTAACGAACTCTCGTACCGCTGTAGATAGAAAAAAAAGGGCTGGCGCGATTTTCAGGAACGGCGCCTATCGATTGTCTTTGAAACGTCTCGTAAGTAGAAACCAGCTCTCCAGACGAATTGGACAGTAAGTTTTTGTATATCGGCGTTTCTAATAGTTGTTAAGGCCAGTTTCATAGACACGCTTGTTAAAAAAAGAAAAAACAACGGCCCGTTTTTCGTGTATCAGTTCTGGTTTATTTGACTCTGATAAATTTCGTTGATTCCAATCACGTTTGTTTGTTTCTTTTTTTTCAATAGACGAACCGTAAATATGTAATTTAGTTTACGAAGAATATCTCGAGAGTTGCATCGCGAATAGCGGTTTAGAGAAATAACATTCTATAGTTGTACACGAGAGAGAAAAAAATATGTGTGGTACGACACTCATGTGCGTTTACGTATTGTTTTAAAGTATCGATTGAAATGTGTGTACAAGATCTCATTTGATTCGTAGGTAATTCATTTCGTTGCTATTCATAGCAAAGAATTATTCTCTTATGTTATTGACTGTAAGATATGATCGTTGCTTTTCTTTTTCTCTTTCTAATTGTGTGTAATTGTATCGATCCTGTTTATGTGATCAGAGTTTTCAACGTCATTTGGTAAATTGAACGAAATTGCGTTAATTTAGATTAAAGTACGCTTCAAGTTCTAAGATGTTTGCTTATCTCAGAAGTTTCATGAAACCGGCCCCATAAAAAAACAAAACAAAAAAAAAGAAAGGAGAAAAAAACAGAAAACAAAAGTTGTTTATGCGAGGAGATGTCGCACAAAACTAGTATGAATATGTGATTGTTATACATGCTCCGAAATTACGATCCATAGTTCTTGAAGTTGACTTCTACTCACGAGGTTCAAAGCTTTTCATGTATGTAAATCCACTCGCAAAAACTTTCAAATAGAGAAACAGTTGATTGAACTTCTCAATCGTTCTAAATACTTTGAATTTGTTGTTGCACGTTACCTTATTTATCCTACATGTTCCCAGCCTGGGCTGCAAACGGCTCGTTCACAAATTTGTAACTTTTTGAAAGTCGCATGGGTTAAAAATCCAGTCTAACGCTGCCTGCCTCATATGACTGGCTAAAACAAGAAAAGAAAACTAATAAATGAAAAAGATTCAATGTTCTATCGAACGCTACGAATTTTGTACGACACGCGTGTATTAATTTAATTAGATCTCTTTCTAGCGATGGTACCTCGTATCGAATAAAGCGGATAGAAATACACATCGCTACTTCACATTCGAATTCTGTAGGGTGGAATTTAAATAATAGGCAGCTATGGCAGGATAATAGGGTAGATCCTAATTAAGAGTAGTCTAATTAACAGCAGCAGTCGTCTCGCTAAGTGTTGTTAGGGATTCTATGAACGATTCTCGATCCATGCGTTCACAAAGGCCTCTCGATGACCTCTTACGCTTTTAAGAAAGCTCAAATTCAGTTTCTCACCCGCCTCATACGTTACTTATATATGTACTTCGTTGGCATTAGGGTATTCGAGGTTTGCACAGGCAGGTACTCCACGTTGTGATGGTATTGTTCTTCGTAAATACACACTCTTCCATTTTAGTAGTGGTACGTCGATGGTTTGATAGAGTCTTCTAGTGCCTTGAATTGCCACGTAATGCTGCTTATAACGGAGTTTCTCTGGATACGTGTCGTATGAAATAGGTGCTTAATCGTAGAAGACACGAGGAAATTTACATCACTATTTTTTAGATGGACGTTTGGAAATGTCGTTTGAAATTCGATCTATTTTAGTAATCTTGAAAAATTGAGAAAGTATTTTGTTCCTAGATGATATACCATTCAGCCAAAATTCTTCTCACGTTTCCTCGTATCTCTCTCGTAATTCGGTAATTATTTCATACGGCGCTTATGTAGATATACCCGTACGCAGTAGTATGTTTCTCTATTCCTGACCCTTTTTAACAGTCATATTAGGCAGCACGCGGTCATGTGTTTCTTGCACGTTGAAAATACAGGGACTAATTCACAAAGTTAAGCCTTGGACAAGGGAGCAAGTATGGTATATGTTGATCTGATCATTCGTAGACTCGATTATTTATTATACCGCTGTTTATAGTAGAGGCATGTACGAGGACTTCAGCCGAGATTCATTTGAAGAGCGTAGGTAAGTAGACGTGCCGATGGGTCACACACCAGCCCAAATCGTTGAAACGTTTACTCCGTGTTCGACTGTCAATTGTTCGGTTTTTAACCATCTGGCCCTCTTCTTTGCGTCACGGTGCGCTGCTGAATCGCCTTTGTATTCCCCTTGAGAGAGTCACTCGATCGGTTCCAACGAAATCGAAATCGAAACCGAAACCGAACTTATAAATATTGTTTACCGGATTCGCTGTCCACGATTACGTCGCGTAAAGCCCGGGACTTTGTCTCGATTGGAACAACGGCGAGACAGCGACATGTTCTGTAAGGAAGAGAGTGCCCGCAATTTGTGATGTATTCGAAAATTGTCCTATCGTTTATCGACGAGAAACTAGTAACGTTAGCGAGAAAAACGAGGAAGAACGTACTCTCCGTGGTTAAGAAAGTAAATTTTACCACCCACCTTTTGCTTATCTCCCATTAACATCTCCTCCCTGTACCTTGGTACACTACTCACACATACATTCTCTGTTTGTCAATACAGTATAATTTTATTTCTTTTTCACAGTGCCACCCTTGTCTACTTACCTATCCGCCCTCTTTGTGTCTCACAAGTTGCTCCTCTCTCTTAGTCCGTGTTTTAAAATCGTTCTGTCTCGACCTCGTGTAACTGACGTGGCTGCTTCATTTTGGTTACCAGACCGGGATTACGAGGGCCATCGCCGTCGCGCCGGTTCGCACCATACTAAATCGTCGCGTCGGGCTCGCTCGGATCGGTCTGTCGGTCTGTCTGTCGTCTGTCGGGTCTGTCTGTCGCTAGCAGGAAGCCTCGGGACCGAGATACTCTTGGCCGTCTGTCGATCTGCACGCGCGAAGATCTACTATATTCGGCTGCTCTATCAGAAAAAAAAACACATGTACAATCTCTCTCCGCAGTGCGCTATTTAGATGAAAAACCGAAAAACCAGACGAGAAAATTAAGCAGCAAACAGAACACGAGCCGAAATTTCATCGAATCTTGCAGGCCTCTTTTTACACACGTCCTTTCTTTTCTCTCCGGTCCGGTTTTCCCTTGTTCCTCGAAGATGCACGTCGTTTATTATATTCGTTCCCCGTCGTGTAATGCTTAGACAGACTTTCCGTAATTTTACCTCGTATCGACGAGACTACACCACCGTTATCGTTATGTAGGCGTTTCCTCGATGTAAGAAGATGAGAAAATAATAGCATCCTCCTACCGAGTGAATCTTTCGATTCGTACCCATACTTTGATCCGCGCGGCCGGTTTTCCACCGAAATCAATAACCACACTATTATTTCGTTAGAAGATGAACAAAAAAAGAAAGGGTAAGCTCGAAGAACGTTTTGGTAGGACGATGCTTGGCGACGATATAAATTACCGCGTTAATTTTGATGACCGTTTCTGTGACGATGACGCGCACACACGCCTTTTGCTTCCATCCGTGGACAATTCACTTGCTCTTGCGAAACAGTCGATTGGTCGTGGACCTGAAGAGATTCTCGATATCGAAGCACCAACGAATCGGTATTATGTGAATTTTGTTCATGTAACGTCTATCTGAACGTATGAGAATCGTTGTAGTTACGTTTAAACTAAAAAATAGACGAATCACCCCTTTTGTGCGATCGGTTGCGCTTCGTAACGCGTCGCTATCACAAAATCGGAGCATCGTGTGGACATATTTTCGTTGTTTTGTTTCTTACTGCGGAACGTCGCGTCGATGATTTCGAAGTAGCTTTCCGTACATTTTGCTCAAGCAACGGACTTCCGTGATGCGTGTGAAAGTATATTGTAAAAAAAAAGAAAGGAACGTTATTATTATTTGATGCGAGACAAAACGTTTGCTGCTCAGCGTGTATCGAGATATGGCGCCGGCATAGGACAAAAATAATTGTACGTGTGATCGGTCGATTGCAATTTTTTCTCCCCGTAAATCCCGATTCTCCTTCCGACACACGGAACCGTGCACTGTGAAATATCGAACGCATTTTTTTCTCTATATCTCGTTGTTAATAGCGTCGTCCCAATTAGCAGACATTTATATACACATAATGAACACAGAGCATAAACAGATAAAAAAAAAAAAGAGATCGTGCACAGCCTTTCGTAATCTTTCTTTCGAGGAACAGGACGAAAAAAGATTATGATAATCGAAAAGAAAAGAAAATACATAGAAGTTACAAATTGGAGACACCGTAGATTATTCGTAGGATGATGCGTCGATTCTGTATGGGAACCTAAGCGGGTCGTGCGAACATTATATCGTTAGCGTGTAGTAACGTAATAATACCGTTTTATTAACATATTAGGATTAATTGACGTAAAGAATTACCGAAGAAATAATGCGGTAACCGCAAGTGCGCTCCGTTTAAGCTTATACGTATAATAATAACGATGATCACCGTTTCTCGTTTTGAGCAGCGTATATACACGTTGGTGTGTAATACTTCTCTATTCTCAAGATTTTTTCTTTTATCTCCCCCCACCATCTATTATTATTTCCTCTTTTTTCTCTTTGGTAAGACTCGTGTTTTCAATGATAATTATATTAATAATGGTAATCGTAATGATAATGGATTAAAAAGAAACGAATGTAATAACAATGTACTTGTGGAATTCACAAAACAAAAAGAAAACGGCGTTACGTGTTCTTTAATTATCTCTCACTTTCACCGTTTTTCGCCGCTCTCAAGCCCACCCCTCTAGTCAGTACACCAGCCCTCGTCCGTAACCCTATCCGCGCGAGATTCGCGTAGAAAACTATGCGTTGTTTCGTAGTCGGTTCGCGTGATCGGACGCGCGCGCTTCGCTGGCTTCCTGCGCGTCGCGCGTTATGGCCTCGCACGATCGGCCACGATTCCCGATCTATGAACGCGTTTCGATCTCGCTCTCGCCCTTTTCTCCTTATCCACGAGATTGCTCATATATCCTGCACCGTTGTATTCAACGTTCCTTCATCCCCCACCCAGTCTTTCACCTATCTATTTGAACTACAACTTCGTTCAGGATCCAAATCTGTTTCTTTATTATTCTCTCGTTTCCAGTACTCACGTTATATCATCCTGTCAATTGACGTAAATAAGTTTCTCGATATTTGAACAGGATTGTGTCTGCGACTCCTCGAAATAGTCCCTTTATTATTTGTAAATTAGACCTGTACTTGGAAGTTACGAATAAGAGCATATCTCTCTACGCTCTGCAACTCTCTTCAGAAGTCGCTAGTTTCGATCGCGGTAGTCGATAGTTCTTCTGCCTCTACATTTTGTGCAAAAAATTTTGAAACCATTGCGTACACATTCGAATAATTATGAATTATTAAATTTATATGCGATTAAAAGTAGATCGAATCTTCTTGTTCCCTTTATTTGAGAAACGTCTACTTATATATCGCAAAATCGTACTTGTGTTTTGGCAATTTTTATTTCAATAACTATCAAACGTGTGCAAGGACAAAATATTTTCTATTACAAACGAAAACCACTTTACTCTCATCTTTCGTACCCTATGAATATTCTTATTGGATTAGCGAGATTAATTGAAAACTACGGCTGATAAGGAGAAAGGAAACAGTAACAATTTTTTTCTCTGCCGTTTAAACGTTAGAAATATCATGATTACACCATGAAAATGAATCTATTGTAAAGTTAAAACATATCAAGTAACATTTCTCCTTACAGTTATCAGTTACAGTTTAATTCGTCAGTGTCGGACTTCTTTCCGTAATTAAAGACGACAGTCTTATTTAAAAAGAAAAATTTCACAATCGTTTAGTTACACACAAGTTTGATCGATGCACTAGTTTTTAGCTCGAAATGCTCTTCGATTCCACTCGAAAACTCGCGTCTAGGTATGAGCGAGATTTAGGAACAGAGGCCGGCAACAAAATTTCGCCCCGAAGAGTTTTTTCCCCGACAACTTTCTTTTTCTCTCTTCCGCCGAAGGCAGATACAAATATATTTTTGCTCGTATAACGTAGGCGCGTGTGCGTCTGTATACATCTCAGCGTTACGTAATTAGGAACACGTGTATTACGAAGGTGATATTCGGTGACGCCCGGGCTGCGCGTGTAACCGACGAAATGAAAACTAAAAAACTAAAAGAAAAACGGAATTTGCCCGATCGGTATGCATAAATATACACATACGTCGTACGAAACTTGAACATGAGGAGACCACAGGCTTCGTCGCACGGTTGATGACGAGATCCGCTAATACAAGTTATCTCGAAGATTACGGTTGTACCGGAAGTGTAATACGTCGATAGGAAATCTGCGGTGATCCATGCACATACACAGCCTCGTGACCTTACGGACGTAACGATTAATGGCAGTTGGTAGTCTCGATAATAATCTCAAACCGTTGCAACCGGTCAAGTCCAAATGCGTCGTCGGTTGTATCGGGATGTATGCATAAACCGAGAAAAGGTCGACGAAAATGAGAACTATATCGCTCGCTGATCGGGACCGCACACCTCCTCCGGACCCTCGCAAGCACGTATACGAACGAGTCCCTCGACAGAGTCGTCACGAGTAATAAAAAAAAATAAAAAATAAAAACGTGGAGCGTATCAGTCGCTGGGTGATAGACGGATGAGATACGCGACTTTTGAGAAACAAACGGGTCATAGAAACCGGAAGATATCGGCGGAAAAAAAAATATAACGGAAAAACGAAGCGCAGAAAGAGATCGACCGGTAGAAATCGGGACGACGGATATATGTATCTATAATATGCGTGTGTGACCACCGAAGTATAATAGTCTCTCTGCAGAACCGGGACGTGTAATCCTCTTCACACGCGCGACGAAAAAATAAACGTGTCTCGTGCCGCCGGGTCGTCGGTTGCCAATTACCAGAGTGATAGAGAGAGAGAGAGAGAGAGAGAGAGAGAGACGCGCCACAGGGAAATCTAAAAAAACACTATGTGTATTGTAATGTGATGTATGATATAGGACACGATAACCCCCTACTTCAAGCGCTTCTGGACATACTTGGAAGGAGCTCTGGGCTTGATGATGTTCGAGTACGAAGTGAGAGGTTGAGAGAGGTGTCCCATCAACGTGTCCCGTGTGGCGAGAGGTAATTGTCGACCAGGACTCTGTGCTCCATTGACAGGCACCGCAGCCGACAGAGGTGTCCCAATCGGGCAGAAATATGGGTGCGAAACCACGTCGTATCAAGGCAAGTCCAACAGCCTCTCAGTATCTCATCATTCTGATCTGCGTAAGAAAGAAAATAACACAAAAGAAAAATAAAAGGTGTTCTCTCTCTGTCTGACAGCATTAAAATTTCATTCAGTTTTTCTATGCCTGGCGAACGCTTTGAGAGCCATGTTTTCTTTCTCAGGAGATGCGGTAGAGCGCACACGCATGCACATTGTGAATCCTGCGATACGAAGAACTTCGTATGTGCGAATATAGATCCAGACTAAACTCTTACATTGGCAATGGCGAGGTGCTGCGATTTCACACTTCCAACACTTCTTCTCCTATCTCGCTAACGATTGGAATTTCTAATGTCTTTCTCTACTACTGTGTGTTGGAACACGAAGGTATCGTAAAGAAAACGAATACTTGTCTCCATGCAGAAATCTATGAATTTCTCCCATGTCGTTTCTTTTTTTTTTCTCTCTGAACATCTAAAAGCGCGGTAATAGCTACGCGCAATTCATTCGCGGTGCTTGCGTCATCGATCTCTGTTGTTACAATATTTGTACGATGTCGTACGTATTTTTATTTATTTTTTTATCGTGAATCGTTTTTTAAATATGAAAATAAATATCAACTATGTCTTATAACTGTACGCGAAGATGTAAATAGTTAGTGAAATAATTGACTCGAAGAATGTGTAATATCTTACGCATTGTGATTTTTGTATAATTATTTGAACAAAATTTATCGCGCCTTTAAACGTACGGAATTTAATGGTAAGTAACAATAAATTCAGGTAAGACGCGCGGAGTAGTATGCGTCATCTTGGGAAATTCAAGTTGTTGACTTCACAGAAACGAATCTTACTGAAATAATTTTCGCCTGTCGTTTGCTGTAAAAAGTCTACATTTTCGTTAATCAGGATGTTAAATAAAACACTGTAAAACTAGGAGGCATCTTGCGGCTTATAATTTGTAAAGGTTGGATGTAGTAACCTAATGGATGTGCTGTATTTTTAGCAAAAATATATTATACTAACTTTAAAAAGGCACTGTTCTTGTTTCATATCAACAGTAACGATTAAAACGCACTCAGTATATAGGATATGTTTTGAAAAAATAAAGTTGAAGTAAGTAGTAAATACATATTCTATTCCAAGGACTAGCATATATCACATGAATAAGTTATTCTGGTTAGAGTTTTTCCCCACTGAGCGTCTAATTGCGTAATACAGACAACATAGTGCATTGCATGCATAGACGAGAATTTGAATAATAATCCAGCTTATTATGAGTGTGGCGAACTATATTTAGATTTTGAACAATTCAGTGTAAGTTTCAATCCCGAAGTTTATGTGGAAAGTAAATACAATTGTGCTTGGAATTCGTGAAGGATTCATGCAGTTTGCTTATCTATTAACTATTTAAATAAAGTAGATTAGGAAGAGATACGATTTTTCCGGTCCGATGACGAAACGCGTCCATAAGTATACTATAACTCGTGATGCAAATGTTGCATAGTGGAGTGTTGAGATACAATTTGTATATAGCATAGATACGATGAGATAGAACCGATAACGTAAAATACGTATAAAAAGTACGTCATGTCACTTGACCCTGGACCTTGAAGGAAGGAGTTGAGAGATCTGCGGTATATAAGAGGTGTGCATCGTCGCCATCCGTCTTGTACAGTACAATTGGAACTATTTGTCGAAACAAACGAAAACCGTATTCAAATGGCGCGAGACTTACGGTAATTAATTCACATTATGAATATCTTTCATTCCATTGTTTCTTACATATATTGTCGATGTTTTATTTAAATTGAGAGGTTATGTTTAAACATCGAAAGAGGTTAAGTTGTACATGCGCGCTTTGATCATATGCTCGCTAGATTGCGTCGAACACTCAAAAGTGCCATCCGTTATATATGTCACAAATTTTGGATTCATGAATCAATGACAAAGTAATTCGTGTAGTTTCTCTTAACTTTCATAACGTACGCGTTAATTATTATATTTCGTGTTATTCCTTAAATTCATAACCACGTGATTGTAGAAAAGTTTAGATTATGCAATTGTCAGGCTCGGACCACGAGTGTAGGGAACCCGAGAATATATTTTTTCAAAACATAAATTTGTATTTTCTGGATGTACCAATTTATTTCGTGCTTAAAACTTTTGACAATAATCTTAAATGTTTAAATTATAAATTTATTTCTGATTACTATAATAGCTCTGGTACTTTTCAGGGAGGGTCTCCTACTGGGGATGGGTAATCCCCTTCTTGATATTTCAGCAACTGTAGATAGCAATTTTTTAAAAAAATATGATTTGAAACCAAATGATGCTATTCTTGCTCAAAACAAACACAAGCCCATGTATGATGAATTAATTGAATTGTATCAGGCAGACTTTATTGCTGGTGGTTCTGCACAAAACACTATGAGAGTAACGCAAGTAAATTCTTTAGGATTTGTTATTATATAAACTGTTAAGTTGAATTACAAATAAAGAAGATCTAATTTTCTGTAGTGGATCTTGGGCAAACCAAAAATTGTAACTTACATGGGCTGCGTTGGAAAAGACAAATATTCGAAAATCTTAGAAAATAAAGCACAAGAAGCTGGCTTAAATGTTCGCTATCAATATACCAATAAAGAACCTACTGGTACTTGTGCGGTTGTTATTACTGGAAACGAACGGTCTTTATGTGCTAATTTGGCTGCTGCTAATTGCTTTTCAATTTCGCACATAAAAGAACCTGAAAATGAAAAACTTATAGAAGCAGCTCAATATATTTATATTGCTGTATGTGTTACGCAAAGTATATGTAAGACTTTACAGTCTATGAAATTTATGTCTAATATTATATCATACGCTTATTATTATAGGGATTCTTTTTAACAGTGAACCCAGAAACAATTCAAACAATAGCTCATCATGCTTTTGAAAAGAATAAAATGTTTATGATGAACCTTAGTGCACCCTTTTTATGCGAATTTTATAAAACACCTATGCTAGCTGCTCTTCCATATGTTGATATTTTATTTGGCAATGAAACAGAAGCAGATGCATTTGCAAAAGTTAATGATTTTAAAACTACAGATAGAAAAGAAATAGCATTAAAACTATCTCAAATGGAAAAAATAAATAAGAAGAGGCCAAGAATTGTTGTGATAACACAAGGTGCAGAACAAATCCTTATAGCCAAAAATAATACTGTAACAGAAGTTCCTGCTATTAAACTTCCACATGAAAAAGTTGTTGATACCAATGGAGCAGGAGATGCTTTTGTAGGAGGTATGTTTCTGTCAACTTTCTATACATCTTGATGTCGATAATTTATTAAAACAATATTGACATATTATTGTTGTTTCAGGTTTCTTGGCTCAACTTGTACAAGATAAAAGCATAAATGTATGTATAAAATGTGGTATCTGGGCAGCAACTGAAATTATACAAAGATCTGGATGTACTTATGAAGGGAAACCAAACTTTACACCTTGATAATTCTTAATCAGTTAGTAATTGTAAACTCTGTACTTAATAAATGCCTTAACAATTTTTACCCTAATTTCCTTAAATATGGAAGAGCTTTTGCTTTTTATATGTTTGTGTACAACAGACCCATTTCGTTAGAAACAATATTATTTGACCAAATACAAATAAGGAAGAGTGATTCTAATTGATACATTAATGATTTGTTTTAATGGTATATTATTTAATGATAAATTATTGATCAGTATTTTAAATTGCTCAAATAATGTTAATCTTTAATTTCGTGATTGCGCAAAGTTCCAAATACGTCATCTAAAAGTAGCCATTTAATTTATGCGAGACTTAAAAAATCAATACAATCACCTACGGCGTGTTCATTACACCGAATACTTACAAGTATTTGAAAACGTAAGAGCACTGGTTGAAATAATGTAGTCGAAAAACAGTTATCGCGATCGTTTGGTACGCCTGCGTCGTCCACTACATAAATGCAGAGTATACATAGAGTAGGATAGAGATGTAGCGATAAAGCATACGTGGACGAGGCATGACGGGGTAAGGGCGGTCCTTGAAAAAATCAATAATCTCATTACGAAATTGCACACAGTATGGTCTGTGTATTTTGTCTGTGCCGTGGCAGAAGTAACGGCATGCCCCTCACGGTCAGGATCGTAGAAAAATAACGTTAACCCTTCCAAAATTATTTCCAAAACATCTCTCGAAGTACTTTTTCGATTCATTATCAAGATTTTAAAACAGTATAGGAACTAATAATTATTTTTATACAAATTGAAAAGATTGTTTTCGAACGAATATAAATTACGAATATCATGTTGCTTTAGTACATTAAAACATAATATTAAACAAAGTTTTCTCTTGTTGCAAAAAGTAAAAACATTTATTAAATAAGTAAATATAACAAATCGTGTATATAATCAAAACTAACAAGACTGAAGTTCATGTATCTGCTCTGTACTTACACTTTCCCCCAAAATGTCCAAGTCATTAAATGTTTAATGAAAATACATTTTATAAAAAAAGAATATTGTAAAATAACCTATATTCAATTTGATATCTAATTTTGATGATATGTTTAAACCCATATTATTCTGCAGTAGAATTTTATAAATTTGAATGCGTTACATTTGAAAAAATAATTTATAATTACAATTAATATATTTAGGTCAACTGTATGTGTGTAACTGTCAAATGTTTTCTAAAAATGTCATTCGTCCGAGATGTATATAGTCGAATACAAAATATCTGGTAATCACATTAATAAACTGGGTGAATCGAAACGACAAAGCCTAACAGTAAATCGACAATTATTCTTTTTTTATTATTATTTACGGACGCGTGGTCCGAAATGATGGAGGCACAGCCCTGGAGGCTCGTTGACAATGCTCCCGGCATCGTTCACGTAGCAGTCGCGCGCGCTGTCGCGTCGAGAAGCCGATTGGGAATGGTTAAAGCGAGCGTGAAGTGGGCGGCCATAGTGGTGGTAGAAGCGTAGTAGCACAGGGGCAGAAGTACGGCAACGAGCCGCGTATAAGTCGACAGTCTTCGCCACGATATCAGGCCGTTTCAGTATTCGCTTTCGTTGCGGCTTCTGCTTACCCGCGCTCCAAAGCTCTTACTCGTAGATCTCTCCCACGGGGTACTGTGTATACATACAGAACCATACGACGTGATTACTGCTCCGTGTATATGTGTTGTGTGCGCGCGAGAGAAGCAACGAAACACGACGCACGCACGTGTGACCGGTAATAAGAGTGTGTGAGTCAAAGTGGACGGTTTGATTGGGCGACGCGAACGCGTGCCGCTACGACCGTGTTTCTTCGTGATTCCGCCGTGGCTGAGAGCGCGGTGTGCGCAGTGCGCTCCCCACCGCGTGCGCGCAGTGTGTAACCCCCGCGACCGCCATCTTTGTCAAGTGGGTAACCTTTGTTGATTTGTGTGAAATGTGACGCCGTTGTCGCGAGATAATTGGTGATCGTGATTACACGCGAGACCTGTGTGTCGGTACCTGAGTGACTCGTGCTCTTACGTGTCTCGCCGTGGATCTATGCATGGAACTACCGCGATCAGGTAACGACAATTCGCCTCTCGTTAAATTCTGGGCAACAGAGAACCACGCGAATCGTCGCCCGACGCATACGGGCCAGCGGGTCTGGCCGCCTGCTCGAGAAAGAGAGAGATAGAGTGCGAGAGTGAGAAGGAGACAATCTTCTCTATACGCAGTGTTACTCCGTTTTATTTGTCTCGCTATATTTTTCGATTATGCGTGAACGAGGAAAGCTTCGGATGCCATGGGACAGCAGCACGTTTCTCCCTGAATCGAGGAATTACCCTGTTTCAACCAATACATCGTTCTAGCGCGCGAAAAATCGTGCGAAACGGCCGAGTGCTGGCCGTGCCTAGCCAAGATGGCTGCCCGTCGGGCTTCGAGAAACTTGTGTCCTCGTCGTCTCTGCTTCGACGACGTAATTGCATCGTTCCGTGTTTTTTGTTCACGCGACGCGCACCGTATCCTCGAGTCAACGGGATAAACGTTCGTGTTGCCGATATCGTTGCGATCAGCTAGCCGGCGAATCGAAAATAACCGTAGCGACGGACGGATCCGTGGGCGACGGCCGTCGCGATCGCAACATTTGCCGTACGTACAGTGTCTGGTACGAGCTACGGTGTGAATCGCGACAGCCATTCCTGTTCCTGAAGTATTGTACAAGTTCACCAATTAAAAAGTACGTGTTTCTCAAGTATGTCGATTAAAATGGCTACCGACGGCAGTCAGTCGGTGGTCATTCGCGAACGGTGTCCACGCGCATATGACTTATTCCACGTTCGAAATCGTAATTCGATGACATCGTTCCCTCTATATCTTTCGCTCGGTGTCTTCCAGCGATCTACGTCGAGTGAAATCACCGTTTTAGTTACGGTTGATACGCGTTCCTGTGGAATTGGAAGCGTGTACAGACGCAAGAAGTAACGAGCGACGGGCGGCGGCAGTTAGGGTCGTTCGTTCGTTTTCTCGGTGGCAGCTGCTCTCTCTCTCTTTTACTCTCCGTCGGGTGAGAGGGGCCCCGGCAAATACAGCCAGCCGGCTTGGCCTCACTGGCCTCTCTTCGCCCTCGTCCCCGTGGTCTTATGACGGACAAATACTCCTTCTTTCTCGATCCATCGTGATTTCCCTGTTTAACGCATTGACTGTCGCTGCGAGTTTTCTCCTCGTCCCTTTTGGAGTTTTGCTCTTTCATCCTCTATATTTATTCGAATCCGTATTCTCGAAAACAAAATAGCATTTAATCGTTCGATGGTGCACCTATTATTTTTTGTTGTATCCTCTCACGATATTCAATGTGTTAATAGTTGCTTTGTGTTTCCTTGTATTTTGCTTCTTGCGCTCAATGCGTTTGTTCCTGTTGAGTGCTCGTAAATACGAACACATCACATGTTACCATCTCTCAGCGTAATCTGGTTGGTTAAAATACAATGCAAAGCACGGAGCTGAAGCCTTCATTTTTCCTACTCAGTTTGAAAGACGTCCCGCCAACGCACTCGCAATTTTATCTCTGCCATCTAAATCTGTCACGTCGTACTGCTAATAGTTCGTTGTACCTGTCAATGCTTGTACACATTACGTCGAACTTGTTTCCATTGTGTCTTCCTTTTATTGACATATGAATTTTTCTTGTGATTTGTTTAACATGTCACCATGTGTTTTACATTTTATCGTTTTTCTTAGTTAACTCATTTAGTTATTATTTAATCAATGAAATCAGGTAGCTTCAAAGTTAAGATTAACGAGAACGTTTTGACTGTATATACCTTGTGTTTTACACCGTTCTTTATGTATAGTAAATGCACGTAATCATTTGCAGATATATAGATTTTGAAACACGAATGTGAAGAAAACACAGAAAATTTTATATTGATTTAATTAATTGCTACATATGTATTAACGAAATTAATTATTGTTTATTTATGACGATGGGGTTCTAAAGAATTTCTGGATGTTTGTCCAAAATGATAAAAATATCTTGTCTGTAAAGGGTTAATTGTATAGTATTTATTATATATACTATTTACATTTAGTAGAAATGTAAGGTCACTGTACTGTCAAATTGCTGTCAAAACAGTCAAGTCAGGCACCTCATATTGGTAGGTGAATCAGGTCCAAGCTTGTAGTTGCATTTCCATCTTTTTTGGATGATAAACAATCGATATGAATTGAAAATATTTTCTTTTGTGATTTATAATAATTACTATAAAAGATCCTGCAAGTAGTCCCGATTGTCGCTGTCATATTAATAAATTGAGAAATTGGCGGCAAAATAATGAAAATAGTTTATTCGAGTAATTACCGAAGAGCTGAATGATAAAGTTTATTACCACATAGATCGACGATCTGGTTTGACGTCTGCGATACAGTGCGTCATATCAGCTGACATAACCTCAAAGATAAAGTGAAAGATTTCTGATTCTGGTTAGGTTTTATTCATTTGTCGTAACACGTACATTGTCCTAATATCTTTCTTATATTGGTTGCGTAAGAAAAGCCGATATCTCAATTTGCCTAATAAGATAGCGAGCCCCAGAACAACGTTCGCGTTGGTGTAGGTGAGCGAGAAGAACATTCGCGTAGTCTCTTGTATAAAATACACGTTGACATTAGACAGAAAGTCGTCAGGTGGCTCGTCCGTTCGCCTCGTATACGCTCCTGTTCTCCGCAAGCGTTGGAAGCGTGCCGGTAATTGGTCGCCTAATGAATTCGAGCCAAGGCTGACGTTTAAAGTTTAAGCCGTCGCCGGAAATCCAATCGCCTTCGACAAGTCGCGAGACGCTTCGCAACTGAAAGTTTTTTTTTGTTTTCGATGTTTTCGATATACAGGATGTTCGGCCACCCCTGGGAAAAATTTTAATGGGAGATTCTAGAGGCCATAATAAGACGAAAATCAAGAATACTAATTTGTTGATTGAGACTTCGTTAAAAAGTTTTTAACGTTTACAGCATCGCCCGTAAAACGGCAATTTCGGGGAAACATTTCTTCAGTATAGAATTTTTTTCTTGAAAGTACGTAGGAATTCGGGGGTATGTGTATTAACCAAAAATGATTGTACTTGACCCCTGCAACAGAAAATAATTTTGTTAGGTCGATTTGAAAAATTTTTTTTTCGCTGAAACTTTCAGCGCCTATTCGAATTTTTTTCTCGAAAGTGAGTAGGATTTCGGGGGTATGTCTATTTATCAAAAATGATTGAATTTGACCGTCATAACCGAAAATAATTTTTTCAGAAGGATTTGAAGTTCTGTAATTGAATTTTTTAATAATTTTTTAACGAAGCCTCAATCAACAAATTAGTATTCTTGATTTTCGTCTTATTTTGGTCTCTAGAATCTCCCATTAAAATTTTTCCCAGGGGTGGCCGAACACCCTGTATACGAGCGCATAGAAAAGTTTTTCTTTTACAGCCTGCCCTCGACACTGATTAAAGGATATATCGGCGGTCGAAAGTTATATCGTGCGAACGTGTTTCGCATTTAAATTTGCGCTACCGATGGCAGTGAACGAAAATACGTGGTCGACGGAAGAGACACACAGTGGGTCATGGAAGTATACGGAACGGTCGAAATTAGAAACTACAATGAATTCTTAGGAGCCGATTTAGATGTGCTAACGTTGAACTTAGCCGAGAACTTGTCAGAGTCGGGCAAATTTTATTCATGACCAACGAATACAAATTTTCGATTCATTCATAAACTTCCGTTTGCGTTTTGTTCGTAGATTCATTCATCAACATATTTTTTAAACCAACAGTTCAGCGAGTAAAAGATAGTTAACGAGTGGAATTAAAAATATGTATCGGTCATGAATAAAATATACCCTGGCACTTATTAATAAAAAATTGTTGATGATTCATCGAATCGTGACGCAAAACAGTATTTAGAAACAACCCTGTGTCCTTTGCGCCGACTACAGTCGTTCGGTTCATCGTTCGATTCAATTAACGTTTCGTCCGATCGATCATCCGCTGGCTAATTAGTGGGGAATAACGGTGGTGGCTCGATGTGCACGACCGGGAAACAGCGACGTGGAAAAACGCGAACGAAATCGCGCAGGTCAAAATATCCTCCCGCGGGACAGCGACACCGTGCAGCATGGTTACACGTTTGCTTATTGTATTAACGTTATCTCGTCATCGGTGCGCGTTCGTGCTTCGAACTGTGGTGGTCGCCTTTTCCACAATGTACGTACAACGAACGGCGATACACGTGTATCGGTGTTTTCGCGTACATTCCATAGTAGCGTTATCCATAATGTAGTAGCTCTGCTCGCGTTGCATCGTTAAAAAGGCCGACTTTTTGTTTTGTGCCACTTACCGGCGCAACTACGGAATTCTTTGCGTCGAAGTGAATTTGCGTTTACTTGGAACTGGGACAATTTTTGCGTACACGGACAAATGAGAATATTTCTGATTGGGTATCGATATTGTAACGTAATGGATAAACGAGAATACGATGTTTTTATCCTCTGCTCGAAGGACCTTAGAAGGCAATTTCGCGACTACTTTCGTTCGATCGTTCCCTTCTTACTGGCTCCGCGACGTGACCTTGTGCACGGCAGAAAGACACGGACACGTGTTACGCGAGAAGAGTTCCAATATCATCGACGTTGGATCGTGAGTCACGGTCGAGATCGAGAATAGTCGGCCTAAAACACGCTTAAGTTTACGATCTAATCAACTTTGGATGCTTCGTGTTTCACTAGTCGATAGAAGAAATACAGGGTATTTGGTCACCTCTGGGAAAAATTTTAATGGGAGACTCTAGAGGCCAAAATAAAACGAAAACCAAGAATACCAATTTTTTAATGGAGGCTTCGTTAAAACGTTATTAACGTTTAAAGTTCCGCCTGTAGAACGGCGTATCTGCGTACGCGCGATAGTGGTTCTCACTCAGAAAACTGTACGGCTGTCGATACGTCAGTAAGTAGAATTTCTCATGCTGAATGAGAACCATTATAGCTGTTCGCAGATTGCCGTTCTACTAATTTTAAACATTAATATCTTTTTAAGGAAGCTTCAAG